ACTGACAATTCTCCAGAGAAGGCATGAAACTGGCCCTGCCCTTCAGCATTCAGCACAGGACAACTGTTGGCTTGACTCAAGGTCCGCCACACTGCTGCTGTGTACACTTCTGAAGAGGCCCAACACAGTAGGCCAAGTGCCAGCTAATTGAAACTCTTCCTAGAAGGACTTTTCCTATCGGGGAAGAACTAGAACCAAAGCTGGTGGCCCTCCTTAGGGAAGCACCCAACAAACTGTGGTGAAGGGGCAGCACGACAGTCTTCTGCCACAGGAGAAAACAAATATTAAAAATTTAAAGAAACTTGGGAAGACTTTAGACAAACGGATTCTGGGCAAAGGAAGAAGAACCAAGAGAGCGATGTACCCTACAGAATCAGGAAAAGGTAACAGAAAGAAGACACGGCACGGCTTCTTAACACAACAGCCAGCCCTGAGTTCAAAGGGAAGCCTAGCTTCCTCCACTTTCCCAAGGCGTGGCAGGCTCCAGGTGCAAAGGCCCACATCATCCCCCAGAGCAAGCATGGGTCAGTCTGCTGGGCTTCACTATACTTTGTTACAAGGAATGCTTCTACTGGGAAAGGAAAGATACTGGGCAACAAGATAGTTATAAAAAGGAAGTACAAATAAAACATTTTTAAATAGTATTTGTAAAAAGGGATTCAATAAGATCTTGGCCCAGGAGCACAGGTAAGCTACCCGCATGTTCATGCAATGGGTGGCACATGAGCGATCTTGAAGACGGGGGCTAGCTGGCAATTTTTGCAAAGCAGAAGGAACGGTTTCATTCTTGGTATTTATAGCTCTAGGACTCATTACAGTGCCTCACATGTAGTAGGTGCTTAATCAATACCTGCTGCTTGATTTAGAAACCAACAGACCTGAAGTCTATTTATCGTTCTCTTAATATGGCAGTTAGGTAGTAAAGTAGACAGAGTGATGGACTTGGAGTCACAAAGGTCAGAGCTCAAATTAAACCTCTGATACTTTCTAGCTTGTGACCCTGGGCAAATCACTTAACCTCTCTCTGTCTCAGTTTCCTCATCTGTAAAATGTAAAATGGGGGCAAAAACACCACCCACCTGCCAGGATTGTTGTGAGGACCAAATGGAATAATATTTATAAAGTTCTTTGCATAGCTTAAAGTACTACAGAAATGCTAGCTATTATTTTTTCAATATAGCTGTGTCGTCCTGAACACATCTCTTAACCTCTGAGAACCATGATTCTTCACCTGAAAAAGGGTAAGAATATGATTTCTAGGATTTTCTCTAGCTCTAAAGATCCACAAGTCTATAAGAATACTAAATTGACCAGACTATCCCATTCCTGAATCACTCTGCATAAAATATAAGCTTACTAAAAAGGGCATTTTACAGAGTATTTTCAAGTAACCTATTAACAATGTTTCCCCCCCAAAAAAATTTACCCAACATTACAAGAAGGGGAAAAAAAAGGAAAATTAATAGAGATGAAATAAAAGCTGAAGGTAAAGTTCTCTCTTACCCTTGCGAAGAGAAAGATATAAAAATGCATTAACTACCAAAGGAATATATTTTTTAAAATATCTAAATATCAACTAGTCGGAATAAAAATAATTCTAAGGATTGAAGCCAGAAAACCTAATCTAAGGATACATACATGCACATGTCATTTCTGTAAGAAAACAATAAGAAATGAAAATGTCAATAAAAAGCCTTTTTTTTTAATCCTATAAATGACATATCTGAAAGAGTCTCACGTTCCTATCTCATTTTCATAGTTGCTAAGTTCAGTATATTGGTTTCCTTAGCTAAGAAATTTCCCCTTTCAGTCTGACTTCACATAGTCCCTATTAAGCTTTGTTCATGTCTGCCCAAGGCTGGAGCTTCTACATTTGTGGCGACCAAGGACAAGGCAGCTTTATCTAATTCTCTCACTACAGATAATATAATGCATCAATGCTCCTGGCCTCCTCACCTTGGCACAAAAGCAACCACAAATAACAAACATCCTGTACCAGTGATAAGCAAGGGCAAGAAAGAGACATACATAGAACAATATGTCTGATGTAAAAAAGAGCGGAGCCTTGTGATACCAGTCTCATTACTACATATTTTCAAGCATCACAGGTCAAATCCTTCCTGTCCAAAGCCTAACATAAAGTGGAGAAGGGAACCTATGCAATCAATGATAGCTATCATCTACCCTAAAATTCATTCCCAGTTGACAATTTGGGAAAATCTGCCCATAAATTACGTTTTTAAATGTGATGAGGATTTTTCCAGATTGTATCAAAGGTCTTTCTGGCCAATGCAACACAAGTGGCAACTCACTTGAACTGAAATTTCATTATAACAATTATAATGCAGTTACATTTTTAGAAAGTAATGATGGAATAGCAGGCTTCAAAACAGAACCAAGTAAAGTGAAGGCAACCTTTGAAAAGCTCAAAAGAAGAATGCTGCCAAGTAATCAAACAGCAAGAGGTTGCTAGATAGTTAGAAATGTTGGGGATTCCAAGCTTCACTGGCAGATAGTCATATATTATTATATGCATGTGTTAACTCTATAATATGGAAGTACTAGCCTGAAACAAGCACTGTCACACTCAAATTAATTTCATTAAACGCTACACCTTGCACATCTGCTGCTAAAAGCCCACTTATTCCAAAGCTTCACAAGCGGTCAACAGCAAACAGCTTTCTATTCACAACATAAGCTGAGGCTTTTCTTCCCATCATCCTCCCAAGGACAGGCAGCATGAAAGCTTCCTCTGTGGGCCCAATGAGGGTCTATCTACACACTGAGAAAGGCTGACAAGCTGAAAAAAGTCCAAGAGGCTTTTATCATCAAAGAAGACTGGTCATCTCGTCAGTCATGGAGAAGTCAAAGAAAGGAAGAGTCCAAAGAGATGTGTCTAGGATGTTAATGACAGAGAGAGAGACAGACACACAGAGGTAATGTCATTGCCCAGAAAGACTTAAAATCCAGAGGAAAAGATGCCAGCCAAGTTCTTCAACATGTCTTTTCACACAATGCCAAACAACAACCTACAAACATTTCCACATACGGGCCTCCAAGTGCAGCCAGCTGTATGACTTTGAACTAGCCCCTTAACCTCCCTGAGCCATGCTTTCTGTAAAATGGGGATAATAACGCCTGTAATACACATGGCTCTTAGGGCTCTGGCATGGGACAAGAAAAGGAGCTGAACCCTCTTTGCAAACTTCAAAGTAACCTAGAAACATCAATATCACTGTGTGCAGTTCCACAAAACATACTTTCCATCCACACTCAGTTTAGCTAGTAACAAACACGGCCTCCACCATCCTTCTCCTTCCTCTCAAGGCTCCTGTGCTGAACTGCTTCTACCAACAGGCTTCCTGCTGTGGCAAAGGCAACACCACCGGCTGCCCTTATCATAGGAATAGGGGTGGCCCTTGGCTCAAGCCACTGCTGGGGACAGACTAGTCCTCTGCACAATTTAGCAAACCACACTTCTTTTCACAATCCATGTACACTCACAGAATCTGCTATGGGAAGGACCCTGTGACCGCCCCGCCAGTGAAAAATCCTAACTCGGGGCGGCAGACTTCTTTACAGATGTCGCTTCACTGGAACAATCCTGGGAGATCAGCAACTGATGCTATTACTTACACATTAGAGAGGGGCCCAGCGCTTCCCCCTTGGAATTCGAATTCAGGTGTTCCCGTCTCTAGCTGTGTGCTCTATCCAGCCTAGAAGGGGGTCTCTCACTGTCTGTCCTGTGTGTTTGCGTGTAAAACCCATTCCCCTTCGGGGTGACTGTCAGGATTAGAAAAGTCAAGCCTGCACAACCGACCAGTCCCCTGCCCTCTGATGGGACACCTGGGGTAAATGGGTAACGGTTGAAGCTCAGCTCCAGCTGGGGCCTCGGGGTCCCCATCCCCCGGACATGACAACCCTAAACCCCGCAGGGAGCCCCTGCTCCCCAAGACCCGGCCTCCCGAAGGCCTTCGCCGTGCCCGAATCCCGGGCTTCTTTTCCCCCAGGGAGCGGGGGAGGGGATGACACGACAGGCCAAGCAGATCCCAAAGTGGCCGGGCAAGCTTGGCTAAACACACACACTGGCCAAGGGCTGAAAAGTCCTCCCAAGGAAGGGCTGGGCGCCAGGCACTGCGCTGGACCACGGGGCGCTGACTTTGGGGCCGCAGACCTGGGTTTGAATTCTGACTCCTTGGGGCCGGCCTCAGTTTACCCAGGTGCATCCCTCCACCTTGACATGCCTCAACTCCGACCCTGACTCGGACTCGGGGGGGGGGGCTCGGAAGGGTCGCAGGTCCCAGCCCAGGGGTGACCCGGGCACATGTCACCCCCAAAACAATCTCGGGACGCCCCTGGGGCAGCAACAAGGCGGCTCCCGCCCCTCCTCACGAGACCTAGAGAGAGGCTCAAGCCTTTATTAAAGATCTCTGTGCAGGGCCCGGGGCTAGGAAGGGGGACAACAGTGAGGTGGGGGGCCCCAGCCTCAGTTTACCAGCCTGTAACAGGTGGCTCTCCCACCTCGGACACCGACCGCATGACCAGCCTCGGGCAGCGATCGCGGAGCTGGGTCCCAGTCCGAACCCAGCCTCTCTCTGCAAAGGCTGAGCAGCGCGACGGGCCAGGGGACCGGGTTCGAATTCTACCAGGGACGCCCGTCACCTGGGTGACCTTGGGCCGGTCACTCCCCATATCTGGGTGCCGAGAAGCGGGGCGGGACCCGCGGGGCCTGGGTTCCAATCCCCTCCGTGACCTTGGGCCGGTCGCGTCCCCTCCCCCGCTCCGGCCAGGCGGGCCTCAGTTTCCCCTGGCTCCCCCTGCGGGGTCTGGGCCGGCCGGCGGCGGCGATGAGCCCTCCTCCCCCGGGAGGGGCCCAGGGCAGGGCCCGGGCGCCCCGGGGCCGGCGAGGCAGCTGCGGGCCCCGGAGCTCCGGCGGCCGGGGGCCCTGCGGGGCCGTGGAGGCCGCGGGCAGGGGCGGGCCGGGCCCCGCCGCCGCTTACCTCTGCTAACATTACTAAACCCCGGGAAGCGCGCTCGCCCCTAGCCCCGCCGCATGGCCACGGCCGGAGCCGCCGCCGCCGCCGCCGCCGCTCGTCCCGCTGCGCCCCGGGCCCGGGCGGCGGCTTCACTCGGCTCCGCGGGCGGCCCCCGCTCCGGCTCCTCGGCACGGCCGCGCCGCCATCTTGGGGAGCGACGTCCGCGGCCCCGCGCGGCGTGCGCGCCCATTGGCCGGCCGGGGCGCCGCCGTCACGTGGGACAGGTCGCCATGGCGCCGGCGCTGAGAGGGGCGGGGAGAGGGGCGGGGCGAGGAGAGGGGGGAGGGGGAGGGGAAGGAAGGGGCGGAGGAAAGAGGGAGAAGGGAGGGGAGGGAGATGGGGAAAGGGGGTGGAGAGGCAGAGGAGGAGAGAGGTATGCAGAAGGATGGGGCGGAGGGAGGGAGGGAGAGAGGAGAGCCGGGCCCAGGGACAAGCCCAAACCAGAGTCTTACAATTGGGCATAGGGGCAGCTAGGTGGAGCAGTGGCTAGAGCTCGGGCTCTGGATTCAGGAAGACCTGAGTTCAAATGTGACCTCAGACACTTGACACACTAGTTGTGTGACCCTGGGCAAGTCACTTAACCCTGATGGCCTCGCCAAAAAAAAAAAGAACTGGGCATAAATCTCTGCTCTATCCCTGACTAGTAACAATAGTAATAATAATAGCTAACATTTGTGTAGCACCCACTATGTACCAGGCACTAGGCTAAGCACTTCAGAATGATTCTCTCATTTGATACAACAACCCTGGGAGGTAGGTGCTACTGGGATGCCAGGTGTGTAAAAGGAAACGACTGAGGCAAACATGGTGAAGTGACCTGCCCAGGGTCACACAGCTAGTACATGTCCGAGGCCACATTTGAGCTCGTCTTCAGCCTTCACTATACAGTAATTATAGGTAAATAACTTTATAATCATATGTAACCTTCACACATGCAACAGTTTTCTGGTGGCGTCTTCATTACGGCTAGAAGAGGGATCCGAGAGGGGAGCTTCTGACTGAGGAAGCTGAGGCCCGGAAAGGTCCGTTATTAACTGGGCCTGAAATAGGGCCTTAGAACCTTAGAAAGATGATACGGAAGGAAAGTTCTGGACGGCCCAGAAAGATGACGCTGAGAGCTCCTCCGCAGACCGTGAGCTCCCCCGGGCAGGGCTTCCTTCTTCCTCTTCGGCAGCCTCAGGGCTTGCCCAATGCCCGGCACACGGCAGGCACATGATGAGCGTTGACCGGCTGAGGAGCGCACCCAGCTTCCCTAGAGGGACCGAGCGAGATGCTCGCATTCCAGTGGGAGCCAGAACCCCGCGATGTCGGCCCGTGGTTCTCCTCGTATCCCCGCAGCCCACAGCTCAGGCTGAGAGCCTCTGCGGCCCGTCAGCGATAAACCCCTCTCGGCCTGTCCCGGGTGGAAGAAGCTTGGGCTCCCCGGTGGAGACTCTGGAGGCCAGCTCCACCTCCGTACTGTCGGGGGCATCGGTGGGGGCGTGGCCAATCATTGCTCCCACCCTCCTCAATAAATAGAGTCATGGCACCCCCCATGGGCCTGCGGTCCCCACTTTCAAATCTTTGAGAGGAAGCTGTGCACATAGGGATGACAAAAAGAAGGCAGGCGGCCTTCACAGACCCCCTGATGGAGACAAGCATAGCTTCACCACTCCCTCAGTTATTAGAGAGACAGAGACCGCAAAATCCTACTGTGAATTTTGTTTAACTACAAAAAACTGCAATAATGAGACACCAACCATTTTAACAGAGATGATCATTCAGCAACGTATCTCCCATGACTAGGTTACTTCAATTCATCTCAACACACACTGAGCGTTTGGTCTAGGTAAGAAACGGAAATCCAGGTGGTCTGTGTTCAGATCTTATCCCAGGCACATGCTGACTGTCTGGGCCTCGGGAAGTCACTTCTCCCCTAAAAGCCCCCTACTGCTCTCCAGAGCTACAAACTGCAGTTTCAATTTGCCAGTCTTCATAGGCAGAGAAAGCTCCTTCTTTAAGACTTCCCTTATGCCAATAAACGCACAAGACCTGCCTCAAATAGCACAGTCTGTCCAAGCAGAAGGCACCAGGACCCAAAGACAACGGTGTCTCAAGGACTTCACATCGTGCTAGTGGCATGTGTAAAAATAAGGAAGTGGAAAACAAGTAATCTGGAGGGTGGGAGGGAAGAGTCGGGGTGGGGGGGGGGGGGTCAGACAACGCTTCAGGGAGGGTGGAGACCTAAACTGAGGAGCCTGGAACAGAGGGAGAAATGAGAGGGCACTTTCCAGCCACGGAGGCAGAGCAGACCATGCACAGGGAGGAGAACGTGTCATCCGTACATGTCATATATCGCAGGGAGCAAGGAATCCAATTCGCTAAAATCAAAGTAGGAGAGGAGTGATTGGGGGGAGGGGGAGGGGGAGGGGGAAGAGAAGCAGAAAAGTAAAAAGGGTGCCGTATTGTGAAAGGCTTTGAATGCCAAACAGGAGTTTGGTTTTATTAGACACAGCCTCAAGGCAATGGATCTTCCTCGATGCAGGGAGTGTTGATGTGCTCAGACGACCTCCATGAGATCCAGGGTGCCTTAAATAAATAAATGAATGAATGAATACATAGATAAATAAATAAATGAATGGATGGATGGATGGATAGACAAATGAATGAAGACTAGGCAAGCAATAATAACAACTGGCATTTGACAGTTTAAGGTTTGCAAAATCCTTTCTATGACATCTTGTCCTCACAGGAACCTGTAAGGTAGGTGTTATTATTCATCCCATTTTAGAGATGAGGGAACTGAGGCTGGTTTGTGCAGGGTCATAGTAAGTGTTGGCATTGGGATTTGAACTCAGATCTTCCCGGCTCTACTCTATCCACTCCACCACCCGGCTGTCATTCGAAGAGGAAGAATGTGTGGTGCCCAGGTTATGGGGAACGGCTACAGAGGTAACCATTGACTTATCCCATGGACAATCATCTGGTCCCATGAAGGAGTAAACATATTAGCGTCAACGTATTAATGCTTTAAGGTTTACAAAAAGTGTTCCCATAGCATTCCACAGCAACCTCTGAGTCACCTACAACTCACTGGTCTGATAACTTCAATAATTCAAAGAACTCCTGGGAAAAGGAAGAAAGCAAAGAAAGCTTCCCAGGAGCCAAGCAGACAGCACAAAGGGAGACAGCGTGACCTAATGAAAAGATCACTGGCTATGGATCCCAGGCTCTGGGTTCAAATACTACATCTGAAGCTTGCTGCCTCTGTGACCTCGGGCATGTCACTGGACCTCCATTTCCTCATCTACAAAATTAGCGGGGTATGCTAGACACAGCCAGTAGACAAATGAGGAGGTTTGCTTTAAGGCATCCAGATTTAGGAGGACCTTCTAGACTAGCCAACCCCAGAACTCCAGAATTTGGATATGGTTGCCTCTGAGGCTCCTCCCAGTGCTAGATGTAGGACCCCCGGGGGTGGGGGACGGGAAGGGGGGGGCGCGATAAGAAGCCCACCTGTCTCACCTTTTGCAGAGGAGGAAATGGAACCTCCAAAAGGAACCAATATTTGTCCAAGGCCCCCAAGTTAGTTAGGCTTAATAGTGGATTTCAATGCTGGTCTCTCCTGATTCCATTTCCAACATTTCCCACTGGTCTGTGGCCCAGGGGTGGGGAACCTGAGGCCCCAAGGCCACATGTGGCCCTCTAGGTGCTCAAGTGTGTCCCTTTGACCAAACCCAAACTGCACAGAACAAATCCCCTTCACCAAAGGGTTTGTTCTGTAAAACTTGGACTCAGTTAGGAGGTCACACCCAAGGGCCTAGAAGGCCATACGTGGCCCCAAGGCTGCAGGCTCCCCGCCTCTGCTCTATGCTATCAAAGAGGGAGAGGTTTCACATTCACCTGGGGCTTCAGAAAACATCTCTGGGCCTAGGGACATTCCCCTGAAAAGTGCAAGGCCTGAACAGGATGACGTCTTAGGAGCCCTGATGTTCCAGGCGGTCTCTGAACATCCCCTCAGGCATTTCTTTCCCTGTTTGTCATCCTGAGGGCTCAAGGTGAGCAGGCCACAGAGAGTGTGTAGACTGAGATGCATATCCCCTCAGAAATGGTTCTCCTCAAAACTGGCTTCTTTGATCCTTGGACTCAGCAAATGTAAAACAATGAGGGTCTGTTGTGCTCCCAGCAAAAGCCTTCTCTCTCTTTTCTCCATCTCCTCCCCTTCACTCTCTTCTTCCTTCTCTCTCTCTCTCTCTCTCTCTCTCTCTCTCTCTCTCTCTCTTCTCTCTCTCTCTCTCTTTTTCTTTCTCTTCTCTTCTCTTCTCTCTTTTCTCTCTTTCTCTGTCTCTCTCTCTCCCTGTTTCTCTTTCTCTCTCTGTCTTTCTTAGCCATTTTTCTCTGTGTATTGATATACAGGCAGCCTCCTCAGTGCTGCATAAAATGTCTGCCGTGCACTCTTTGTGCCCAAAGGGGCAGAATTGGCCAGAAGTCCTTGTAAGTACCCAAATTAAACAGGACATTATCAAAGCTTAACCAGCCCGGGGTTTGAAGCCGGGAGGGCTAAGATCGACTCCCAGCTCTGCTTTTCACCTCAGGCAGCTGGCAGCTGTTTAACCTCCCTGGGTCCGGTTCTATCCTGCTGTTAGAAAGTAACAATGATCTAACAGCTACTAGGCTCATTATGTACATATTATGTCCCTTTTCATGGCTCTGATTCCTTCCATGGGCCTCAGATCAAGTCCAAGTAAATCTACAACAAATATCATGGTAAGACTCCCTAAGCTGAGGAGATGGTCAAGCCCATCTCTACACACAGGAAGCAGTGTGGTAAAGTGGAAGATACCCTGCCAGTGGAGTCGAAGGATCTGGGTCCCAGTCCTGTCTCTGGGGCTGGCACCCTGGGTCGCTTTGGTCAAGTTGGTCAGTTAGCATTTATTAAGTGCCCAGCACTGTGCCAAAGGCCACTGTCTCCCTGAGCCCCAGCCTGTAAAACGAGGGTGTGGTCTCTTCCAGGCCACCTAGCACCACCCTCTCATTTTCCAGAGAAGGGAGCTTAGGCCCTGAGAGGTTAAGTGACTTTCCCAAACTCACAATCCGGAAGAGAGGAATGGCAGAGGCAGGATTCCAACC